CTAGAGCGCGCCAGCCGCCCTAGGAATTTCGAGCACCCGGACGCTTTGTCCGGCCCCCGCGGCCGCCGCGCGCTCCGACAACGTGCGCAGCGATAGACCCGTCCGGCGACCCCGCGCAGCCCCTCCCCTGACAGCCCCCAGGCTTTCTTCATTGTGCGAGGATGGGAAAGGACGTTGAAATATTCGTCGGGATTCACAAACGACCCATCTGAAATATTAATTGGACGATTTTGTGGATGATGGTTTGTTACGACTTGAATTGTTAGCCCCCACATGCCCACGCCCCTGCAATTTCGCGCCGTATTTACCGAGTGTGTGTCTCTTGGATACCCGAAAGCATCTTTTTTCTTGGTTTAACCGGGTATTTGTGTTTATTTTTTAGGTTAATGTAATATCGGTTCGTATAACCCTTGCTCTTTATGGAATAACATGAAAAAAAATCCGTTAACTCGTCCGATACATAAAAGTGCATGAATGTTCTTCCAAATCATTCTTTTTTAAATTTTAAAACATTGGAAACTCCATTTTTTTAAACGCAGCAATCATTTTAAGAAATACAATCAAACCTAGTGGTGAAGAATAGATGCAGGCGATATTGGACCAAAAGTATTCAAGATGTATATATTACATGAAATTGAAAAAGTGACATTTTATAAAATCGACTCTTTCTAGATCAATACCAAATCAATAGTAGAATATTGGTACCAATCTCTTGTGAAATCATCGTTGCCTATCGATATACAGTGCGCCAGGAGAGTTTCTCCGAACACAGCCCAATCAGGGCGTCCTATTATTAATTGTTTTTACGTTGGTAGCTACCAGATCACTGGGAAACAAGAGAAAGCGACAACTCTTTCAGTATATGTTGTCATTGTGAGTACAAAATTTACATTTTCTTTTGTTACAAGCTGCAGCGCGTGCAACCTACATAATATATGTTGCTAGCACTCCCACCAGCAAGGTGCCACTGCGGAGAGAAATTCCGGCTCACTAAACAGAATATTCGATGATGAGCTGCTTGCTTATTTAACGCCCAAAAAAGTTGAAATAGTGTGTGAAGCGCACAGTAAATGAAAACCGTGATAAGTGCCAAATATGGAATTCCGAGATAATTAATAAAAACTGTTCCGAAATCTCGCGGGACTTGACTGATGAGCAGTACAGTGTCGATAATTTGAAGCCCTAAGAATAAGAATTTCAGATAGCCCATTGGACACCGCATTGCGTTTGACTTACCACGCTTTTCAGCACAAAATTCCAATTTTCACTTTGTAGCACTTAGCCCGGGTTTCATTTACGCTCTCCAATTGAGGTCGAATGGTTGTTCTGACGTCGCGGGTTTGTCGTGTGCGCACACTCTGCACTGCACCTGTGATTATAACACTTTCACTATACGTTATCATTGTGGCGAGTACACAGTTTAAATTTTGTTTTGCTACAAGCTGCAGCTCGTCAAACTAACATACTTTCTGTTTTCTAGCAAGGTACCACGACGGACAGCTTTACCCGGCACTCTGTACATAATATTCCAAGAATTGCTGCTTGCTTATTTTCCACCCAAAGAGTTGAAAGAGTGTGAGGAGTGCAATTGTCCTGTTGGTTAAGCTGGCGGGTTGGCCTTGTGCGCAGACTCGCCGCTGGACCTGTGACTACAACACTTTCAGTATAGGATATCATTGTGGCGAGTACAAAATTTACATTTTGTTTTGTTACAAGCTTCATCTCGTGCAAGTAACCTAATTTATGTTGCTAGCATCAAGGTGTCACGACGGACAGACCTTACTGCGCTCTGTACATAAGCAAGCGGCAATTCAGGAAACATTATTTTCCACCCAAAAGAGTTGAAAGAGTGTGAGGAGTGCAATTGTCCTGTTGGTTAAGCTGGGGGGGTTGTGCGTGTGCGCAGACTCGCCGCTGGACCTGTCCATGTCGCTGCTGTCGCGCGTGCTCATCTC